CTTATTTGAAGAATTACTCAAATGAACAATTTTTATTAATATGGAGAAGATGGATTGTTTATATTCAAAAGAAGCATAGAGTGGTGGAATATAATTTAGGTTTTTAGAAAATTTTTTCTTTTCTTTTATATATTTTACCTACTCATGTAGAATAATATACTTTGTGGAGTTAGAGATACTAATATTTGTTTACTTATATTTGAATATTATCCTGGGATTAGGTTTGGGAAGTCCGGGGGGGTGGGGTTATTTTTTATATAGCACTGTGTAGCATTTGTGATTTTTTTATGATGAAAAAATAATAAAATTTTATATTGAAAAAAAAAAAAAACCACTTTCCCCACCCCACCTCCATTGTCAATCCTCAACAGAAATGCTCACAACAATGAAAACCTCGGACAGGAGGAAGAGCGCCGCTGGGTGGGCAGGCAGGTGTCTTGCTTGGCTGTGGCTTGGGGGGCACTTTTTTCAGTGCCATTGTAACTTCGAACAGTCACTAAGCGAACTGTTGTAAGTCGAGGACTACCTCTACTTTATCACTTTTTTCCTTTTTTTTTTTTTTTTTTTTGGTCAACAAGTTTTTGACACCTTGATAGGCGACTGGTGGTACTCAGATATTGCCATATTCTTAAAGTGGTACAATAGGTGAAAAGGTTGAAAAGCCCTTGTAGAGAACCCAATAAGGGATCCTACGGAAGGAGATTACTATGGATCCTCTGGGCAGGCAGAAGATACAGGACAGGTCTTTCTGCATCAGATGAGCAGAGGGGCTATCAGAGAGGCCTGCAAGAGTGATAAGGGGGGGGAGCAATTATCTGGACATCCAGGCCGAGTTCAGCACCTTGGAGCTCCCTCTGGACCTTCTCAGGGTGGTCTGTGCTGCGCCCCCCCAGGGTGGACTCCTTTCCCCAAAGCTTCACAGAGCTGCTGTGGGGCGCGGGGCAGGGCTCGTCTGGAAGGGGCAGGGCGGGGACCCCGGGATCCGGCGACCGGAAGAGAGGCGGCAGGAGCGGAGCAGTAACAACGGAACCCAGCTGGTGGCTGCTATGCCAATAAAACAAGGCTTCTGTTGCCCCAGAAACGTTTCCTCCCTCCTCCGCCAGGGAATCCAGGTTCGAGGAGCTCTACGTCCAGCAGACCATGCAAAGCCCTCTGGCAGGCCTTCTTCCGCTGGGTTGCGCGCCTTGTGGTGCAAACTTCAGAGTCGCCTTTCCCGAGAGGACCACGGCCCGTTGAGCCCCGAGCCCCGGGGGCGTCGCGATCTGCCTGCCGGCGGGGCAATTGGACACTTTCCCGGTGCCCCGAGGTGCTTTTTCCTGCCGATGCCGTGAAGAGGGCAGGGCGAATGGGTAGCCCGGGAGGGCCGCAGGGGGGGACAGGGGCAGCCGGGGATGGAGGTTGAGCAGGAGTCTCACCACCCCCTGCCCCCCCCCCGCAACTCCTCTACCTTCGTGGGATTCCCATTCCCAGAAGAGCAGCAGTGGCCTGGAGGCCTGGATGCCCCCACGAGCTCCTTCGAGACTCCTGGGCAACCTGACGTCTAAGTTCAACTCACTCGCTCTCTGCCTCCCTCTCTCTCCCTCCCTCTCTTGTCTCCTGGTCGCTGCTGGTGATTCTGCCCAGCTCCATCTGGAGTCTTGGGGGAGAAGACCCAGGGAAGCAGCAGCTCTGCTCTTTGCCTCTTTCTTGTTCTTCTCCAACCAGGTCCTCCTGACAGCAGAACCAGTCTTACCTTTCCCTTCCTTGGACCACTGACCCAGCCAACCCCCCCCCCCCTTTCCTTTGCTTTTATCTTCTCTTCTGAGCATCTCTTCCAGTTGTGCCTCAGATTACCCATTTGCTGGTGCACCTGCCTGGTGACAGAATGGGCTACAAGAGGAAACAGGAGGAAGAGCCTCAAGAGAAGGGACTATCAGATGAAAAAAACTGTGTCCAAGGAAGAAATGAAATTTGAGGAAGAGTCTCAGACCTAATGACTTTCTTCCCTTTCAGGAAGATGAAGAGAGGGAGGTGGATTCAGCCTTGCAAAGTTCTGTTGTTGTAACTTTGTAATAAAAGTAATGTAAGTCGTAAATACATCAGAATTTCATTATACTTCATCATTGTTCCTGATGTGCTGAAGACAAATGCAGCTGGGTAACATCCCATAATAAGCATGGGGTGCACTTAGAGCAGCTGGGGTATGTGCAGAACTGCCTCACCCCAATGGGACTAGCTGGCCCCTCTCCTTCCAGTGGAAGCAGCCTAATTTGGATCCCATTGGCCAAAGAATTTCTGTTGCTGGGCTCCAGGAGAAGAGCCTTTTCTACTGTGCCCCCCCCAATAATATTCTACCATCAGAGGTGAGATTTTCCCACACACACACACACACAAACACACAAACACGATCCCGGCCTTCTGGAAGAGCCTGAAAACCTGGCTTAGCCACTCAGCCTGGGTCCCTAACAGGGTAGGGTAGCCTAGTGGTGTCTCATGGGGTAGACAAGATTCTTAGCCCCAGAATGTCCATCCCCTGGGTTTTTTTAACTTTTAATCTCTTTATTCTGGTTTCGTTTCTTTTTAGCACTTTTAAACTTTTATTACAATGTACGCCAACCAAAGTTGCTGTATTAGTGAGATGGGTGGCATAAAACCTTATCAAAATAAAATAAGATCTGAATTCTGGGACTGTTTTTTGACATGCTAAGGTGGAGCTTTTAGCCTCTGGACCTTTAAGCAAAATGCCACGTTACTTTTTCTTGTTCCTCTAACTGCTCCACTTGCAAAATTCTTGATTGCAAATCCAGTTGTTATAACTGAACCATTTGTGGCCAACCTCTTTGGCTTCTTCAGATAACTGTCGAAATAGTTTCTAGCTAACTGCTGAGCCTGTCTCGGGGTTCCACCTTAGGACCTCCCCCTAAGAAGGCACCTGGGCCTCTCATGGTAGCCAGCTGGACAGACTCATTATAAATGGAAGCCTATTCTTGATTCTAGACTTTTTAAGGGAAAGTTACAGTACTTAGTGCAGAGGAAAGGATACCCTTTGATTGAAGCCACATGGGTAAAATCTAGTGATGTAAAAGCCGACAGGCTCATTAATAAATTCTATGAGAAACACCCTAACAAACCAAGGGGCGACCCCTAACCTATGATTTTGTTTGAATTGCAGAATTTGTCAGAAAGTTTCTCCTTAGTTCTAGGTTGCTTCTTTTCTTGCTTAGTTTCCACCCCTTTCTTCTTGTCCTGCCTTCAGGTGCCTTGGAATATAACTTGATACCCTCTTCTTTGTGGCAGCCCCTGAGATATTGGAACCCTGCTATCATATCCCCCCTCGTCCTTCTCTTCATTAAACTAGACATACCCAATTCCAGCAACTGTTCCTTATATGCTTTAGCCTCCAGTCCCCTAATCATCTTTGTTTCTCTTCTCTGTACTCTTTCTAGAGTCTCAACATGTTTTTTACATCGTGGTGACCAAAACTGGATGCAGTATTCCAAGTGTGATCTTATCAAGGCATTGTAAAGTGGTCTTAATACTTCACGTGATCTTGATTCTATCCCTCTGTTAATGCAGCCTAGCACTGTGTTGTCCTTTATGGTAGCTGCAGCACACGGCTGGCTCATATTTAGGTGATTGTCCACTAGGACTCCGAGGTCCTCTCACAGTTACTACTTTTGAGCAAGGTACTTGAGGAGCATGAGGAGCAGGAGGTGAGTAAGAATGCCCGTGTTGGGTCAGAGGCGGTGGGGTTCCCGAGAAGTGCCCCCCCGCCCTCCTTGTTGCCCAAGTGCTGCTCAGCGCTCGCAGCAGGACCAGCGATTTCGCAGAAGCCTCCGCCCCTCGGACGGGGATCCCGCCCCTCCCAGCCGCTGGGGGTGGTGGAGGGAGGCGGCAGCTGAAAGGGAGGGGAGACCTGGTGCGAGCGGGGCTTTATAAGGGGCGTCCCGCCTGGGGCTGGCACGTCTAGATTCCTGGAGACCACCATGGCGATTGGCCTGGCAGCTCTGGGGCTCCTCGCTTTCCTGCTCGGCTGCTCGGGAACCTTTGCCGAACCCCAAAACTCGGAGGTCAGATGCGGGGTGGGAGGCGGAGGGTCCCAGCCGCCCGTGTGGAAAGCCCCCCCCCCCCACACACACACCAGCCTCTGCTCGGGTGGGCGGCAGGAGCAGCTGGTGGGAGCCGGGGGGGGCTGCGCAGAGGGTGCCGCTTCCTCGGGGTTGATCGCACCGGTGCCGTCGCGCTAAGAGGCCCTCGGTCTCCGACAGACAGTCGGCCGAGCGTGTCCTTCTCCGTGCTCGGCCGCGGCTTCGCAGCCTGCCGGCGGGGCTGATACTCTCGCTCGCTGCGCTGCTGGCAGAGCGATCCGCCCGCGGGGTGTCGTCCCGGACGCGGTCTGGCAGGCGCCTCGACCGACGGACTTTGGGATGGCCGCCATTCTCAGCCCGACGCGGCGTGGGCAGCCCGGGGATCGGGCACGTGTGAGCAGCGGGTGTTTTCAGATTCCCCGGAGAGAATGGAGAGTCTCTACCTGTTGGACACCTGGGCTTGGCTATCACCCTGACACGCTTTTCTCCCCTCTCCCGCTCTTTTTTAGTGCTCCCTGACCGGCACCTGGCAGAATGACCTGCTCAGCACCATGCAGATCAAGAACGTCAGTGACACGGGGGTGTTCAGCGGCGTCTTCAATACGGCACGACTGCGGTACTCCATACACGTCTTTCCATTGCCGCTGCAGGGCATCCAGCACGAGGGGCGCCAGCCCATCTTCGCCTTCACCTTCAGCGGGAACTTCTATGGTAGAGCCACTCAGTCTTTCTTGTGGAAGCAAATAGAACGAGAAGAAGGAATCAAGTGGATCTCCCCTTCCTGAGATCTGCCTCTTGCAGATTCTTTCACTGAATGTCCTCCCTCCTTCCCCCCGCCCATCAGATGGAGATGCCCAAATATTTTGGAGCCTATAAAACATTCACAATCTAAAGGTAGCATCGGTGAGTGGGGGTCTTTATGCGAAATATATCGGCCCCCCAACTTTGATCTGACAGGATCCACCGCCATCATTGTGGGCCAGTGTCTGGTGGACGAGAACGGAAAGGAACAGCTGAGGACAACCTGGTTGGTGCGTAGCTCGTGGGAAATCCCAGAAAAGGATTGGGAGGCGACCCGGTAAGGAAACGAAGGGGCTGAACTGCTGCACCCCCTAACTGGAAGGGCCCTGGGCACCTCTTCTTTCTCTCTCTGGGCTTTTGAAAGGGCGCCCCAATGGTTTGCCTCTCTCTGGGCAGCTCCTGCAGGAGAGGCTGGCATTTTGAATCTAGGAGACTCTGTTTCATCCACTTCCCCCACAAAGGAAGGCAGCAAAGCTTTTGAGCAGCTTCCCCAGGTCCTTCTCACTGACAAGTGTGGTTTGGATGGCACCACAGTCTGGGTTGCCCACAGCTGGCAACACTTGGAGAGTTGGCATTAATTGCTCTACTCAAATCGCAGAGCAGTAGCCCAGCACAGCCCCATATTTGTAGGGGGCAAAGAGGCCACCTGGGTGCCTTCCCTGAGCGAGCGCAAGGCCTGCAGCTCTGCTGCTCCACTCCAAAGAGGCCATTTTTGCAGCCACCTGGATGGAGCTGCTTGACGGGAAGCCCCCAAAGACC